TTCCCACATATTTTATAGCCTAAAACCTCTGTGGAAAGCCGGTCAGCGAGTTGCTAACATGTAAACAAATGGCGGTTCCAGTTAACAGCGGAAGTCGCGCCCATAAATCACGTAAAGCCTCATGGGGGCTAGGAATAAGGTGGATATAAAAGAGCTACTTGCATCTCCTGAACTGCAGGTTGCAGGGCATCAGATGTTTTGTGAATCAACCAGTTGGTGAGTTTTCTTTATATCTGAACTGGGCGGACTGTGAGGGAAGCTAACTCAAAGATTAAAATGTTGGTCCAGTACTCAGTCAGTGCAGAGAAGGCTACACTGGCATTCTCTTCCATTTTAACTCAAACAATTAACTGCTTTGGATTTTTCTTTTCTTTTCATCAAACGTATGGCTTCCATCTGGATGGATTCAGAACATTTTTCTTCTGCAAAATATCCAAGCCTGTTTGGACAAAACCTGAATGTTTTAATCAAACCTTTGGCAGTGAAAGGAGCCTCATCACATTAAAACCTGTAGGAGGATCAAAGAGGAGGAACAAGTGTGTGTGTGACAAATTGTATCTCTTTTTAAAGCAATCTCTTGGTGCTGAGAGCATGGAGATTGAGTTGTGTGTGGAGGAAAACATACAAAGCATTTGTTTCCCTCCTGCACACCTGGCTGAGTGTATTTTAGGATTTATAGAGCAGATAAAAAGATGGAGATTAAAGCAGAGGTGATGTTTTATTTATAATTTTTTTTTCTAGCAGCTGAGCTGAGTGTGTGTTGGAGTGTCATTACTCTAAGTGGCAGCTTTCTCTCCCACACAGAGCCAACTTCATCGCACAGACAGGGTTTTAAATAGCCCTTTTAGGAATGCACATATTATGTTTCTATCACTTTAGAGGGCACTGCAGGAGCTGAGATTAATTTCATGCAGCCCCAAAAATTCTAAGAGTAATCTTACATGATTGGTTGTGTTAAATGGGAAAATTAGCAAACATACAGTATAAAACTTTGAAGATTCTAGTTTTCTGCTATGTATTTAGACAGCAGCTTTCCAACAGCCCTGATATCTCTCTTATGTGTTTGGTAGGATAGTTCCTTTTTTGAGTCAGTATCCTTTCTGTAACCATTTAAGATAAGATTCGTATTCTGAAACAACTCCAATTTAAATCTAGGAGTTTGAGCAAGCTATTTATATATTTTAATTACACTTCAATTTGGCCAATGTTACATCTGTTTTACTTCAAGCAATTCAATTTCGTTGTCATGCTAACACCATTACATGTATTCAGCCACCGGCCTGCCATATCATCTTGAAACATCAGTTCAAGGCAATCACTCATCATCCATCATGTCTATACAGTGGTAGAATCTTTTGGTTCATACAGTTAGTGTAGCCCCAGAAAGCAGCAAAGGTTTAGCAATGTTCAACATCATCATTCCAATTCAGATCAGGAATTCTTTAGTGATCAAAAAAGGAAATAATGAGACTGTTTTTTACAACAGGCTCACAATGTACTCTCAAATAAATATATTGTTGCGATTAACTTATTACTAGGGGTTTCCAGGTGAACCATTTAGACCAATTCTGAATAGCAGTTAACTGGAGTTACTGTTAGCTTGGCTTACGATGTTACCTTCAGCTAACTTGATTCCAAGAAGCTGTTAGCCTCAGTAGTAGTGAGACTCAGTAGCTGTTAGCTTGAGTGGCTGTTAGCTTCAGTAGCTGATAGCTTGACTTGAGGTAGCTGTTAGCTTCAGTAGCTGATAGCTTGACTCAAGGTAGCTGTTAGCTCAGTTATTGTTAGATTGACTCTTAGCAGCTGTTAGCTTCACTAGCTGTTAGCTTTAGTAGCTGTTGTCTTGACTGGGTGATTGATGGGCAGGCTTCTAGCCTCTGTAGCTGTCATATTCAGTAGTTATTAGCTTTATTCTGAGAATATGCTTGCTTCAGTCACCGGTAGCTTCATTTTGACTCCAAGTAGCTATTGCTTCAGTAACAGTTAGCCTGATTAAGTCATATTGATACGCCTAAGTCCAGTCTTTACTCTGACATTTACCTTCAAAAGAAAAATTTACTTTAATTGTTAATGGCAAAATAATTAAGTTGGTAAATTAAATTAGATATTGTTGCCTTAGTTTTCTTTCCAAGCAAGTGTTGCATAAGAAGATAACCAGAAAAGCTGGTTGTTAAATTGTGCATCCAAGTTCATAACTTTTGAAGTAATGTTAAGAATACCCAGGACTACAATATTTTTGTTTGATCATTAATAGGCAGAGAATTTGAAATATTTCTCACATTTAGCAGAAGGTTATATATAAATAAATAGCAGCAAAGACACAGACTGTTGATGCCATATCTTGTTTATTTAAAAATAACTAAATTAATTCTTTTCCAACTTCTTTCATCTTTGTTTACTTCAGGGTGTGGAGGTTACCGTCAATGCCAGCAGCCTGGATGACATAGATCCCTCAGCCATTGGTCAGCGGCTAACTAACGGGACAGCAGTGGTGGCAAGCCCAGTTCTGAACCGCCTGAAAACCAGAGATGAAGAGCACGGAGATGTGGTACATAAACATGAACAACATAAAATCAAGTCAGAATTTATTTTAGTCTGGACATTTTTAATAAAATAAAGTTTTTTTTTTTTAAATTATTCCTTTAGCTTTTATTTTTATTCACTTGATATTGTACACCTTTTCATAAATTTGAGTTATCAAGAAATTAAAATATAAACCTTCTACTTTAAATGTAAGAATAAATGTCAGGGTTTTATATGATAAAACCCTGACATTTGACAGATGTGATTGTTATTATTATTATTATTATTATTATTATTATTATTATTATTATTATTATTATTATTATTATCTGATGAGTCTAGAATAGTTCTTGTGAATCCCAGTAAAGCTGCTGTTGAAAAGAGGTGAGAATCAAGGTCATTATCATATATCATAAAATATATGATATTTTATTTTATCATATAAAATAAAAATGTCAGAATGTTGTTGAGCAACAACATTTTGATGTTGTTGCTCAACATCAGAATGAGAGCAACGTTGATTTGCTTTTTTGATTACATGACTAGCTGACAAATATGTATCTGTGCATCATTCCTGTTGCAGGGCACGGTGTACCAGAAGACTAATGCAGAGGTGGAGATGAAGAAAATCAATAGAGAGGAGTTTTGGGAACAAGCCAAGGTACACACTGAACCTAATACAAGAAGAGGAGGAGAAAAATGCAAAAGGAAAATGACAGGAAAAGAGTTTAGTCTTGTTTTTATTTTCATGTGATACCTATTATTTATTGTAATAACAGGATTATTTAAAAAATGAGAATGTTTCTCATAGTTTTTCATTTCAAAACATATTTTAGGCATGAGATAAGACCTGAAGCCTGTAGGGGTTTCATAATGTGAATTTAGGATTTTTTTTTTCTCTTTGTTTTTGTCGACTGCGTGTCAGTTTTTTTCTTACCAGATGAGTCACATCTGTAATGACTGATATGGAAACCTGGAGATACCATTTTTATTTTCTTCCTTCAATAATCTATTTGATATTTTTTATTATTGTCTTTGGGTTCATTTTTCTGTCCAATAAGTTTTGAATTAGCTAACAAAAACTGCTTCTTTCCAAGTTTGTTGACCTGAACTCAGCTAAAGCATCTAAAACCTGATCGTCATTTATTTATTTAATTATTTATTGCCTTGGCTTCAAGAGTTGCTATTTTTTTTTACTTAGTTGTGCTTTCTTGCAAAATGACAATAAAAGAAATTCTGAATTCTGTAACAAAACAATTCATCTGTAGGTGCTAGGCTAAGCCAAGGTGCCACGTGTAGCTAACAGAATAGCATACACATGCCAAGCAGTAATTTGTAAATGTATATTCACTGCTCTTTGTTAAGCTGCTTTCTGGCATAGTTTGATAAGAGTTAGATAAAGTAGTCTGTAAGAAAAAAAATGTTGTTACCTGTAACTGCTAAGCTAAGCTAACAAGTTAAAAATAGCTAACTATTGCTAACAGTTGAATTTAACATTTCTGTTAAAATGTCAATGTAGGTGTTATGATAAGGCTAAAAACATTAATAAACAGCTAAAAGTACTATAAATCATAAAACATGGTCAAATTAAAATCCTTTGTAAAATAAATTAAACCTTATGCTGGCTTTTCAGATGTGATTTTTTTATTGTTATTATTATTACCTGATGAGTCTAGAATAGTTCTTGTGAATCCCAGTAAAGCTGGTGTTGAAAAGAGGTGAGAATCAAAGTCATTGGTTGGCGAACCTCCGGCTGTTTTACTGGTGGCAAGTTTAGATGAAATACAAAATGACAATATGTATCATGAAGCCGCCGGTTGTTCAACAAATGTACCCTTCAAATGAAAGAGAGAGTTTAAAGTTGAACATAAAAATGTATTCAGAAGAAAAATCTTTGTTAATCAAAAAGGAGGTGATTAGTTTTTATGTTTCTTAGATTTAATATTTTTATTGTGGATGCAGAGAAAAAGTAAAGAACAAGTTACTGCACTTTAAGTGAAGCTTTTTGCCCAAGCTGTTGGAAAAACATTGTTTTCAATGATTGTACAAGTAATATAATGCCAAATAGATCAAATTTCATATCATAGAGTAGTTAATGTTTGTTATGATTAGCAATGCTTTGGTTGACTGGCTACGTGCTGGTATCATCTCCACTTGGTGAGATTTAGGGTAGAAATAACTTTAAATGTTTTTCATCAGGGGTTTCTGAATGGTAGGTCAACAGAACATTTTCTTTTCCAGCAGCCAGTGCATACAGTGGTAAAGTAGCTGACTAAACATGCTGGAGCTCAGCTTGGGTTCCTAGGTTACAGGTGGAGCTCAGCTGGGGTTATAAGGTTAGGGGCAGTCCATGTTGATTTGTGTTGTTGCATTCAGAAGGTTTTTGAAACTGCACATTTTCCAGACACCATATATTATTAACTTATTGCCAAAGAACAGCGTGGTGGTTTTTTAAAGCTCTTGGTCTGTTTTTAGAAGCAGTAGAGACCTAAGTGAAAATACAAACATGCAAAATGGGAATTTTGCATAATAGGTTCACTTTAAGAAAGGTTTTCTTTTTCTCTATTGTGTAGTTTATTTGTCTTTGGTTTGGTTTGGATTAGCAAACAGCTTCTCTTTTTTAAGACTTAGAAAATAAAGCTAAAGTTTTCCATGTGGCTGAGTCATTGTGGCGTAGAATAAACCATAATTTATTAATGACAGGGAAGCTGAGTTTTCCATCTTGCATAATATTAGGCTTACTGGTTAGGTTTAGACAAGAGGTCTCTCAGTGAGGAGTTAGTAAACAGAATTTCAAATATTTTCTAACTATTTTGGTTAGGATGACATAAACTATGTTATAAATTATATAAAATAAAGTAATCCTAAAAAATACTGCTTTCCAAATACGACTTTCATTCTTCTTTATTTGCTTAATTTTACACAGATTTCTTAGGCTTAGCTGCCAGGTTTGGTGGTAAATTTAAAGTTTAAATGGTCTTCCTTCAATTATAAGCATCACATCTCTGAGTTTATCACAACATTGGGCTTTTGAAAGTAAATTTGTTCTGATATCAGTTATTATTGGAAACTGGTGGCAAACTTGGTGCCAGCTCTTTCTGCTTCCACCTGCTGAATCCCAAAAAACAAGAAACAGAACGTTACCGCAGGAACTAGTCCAAAAACTCTGTGATGATGACGCAAAAACTATTTAAATCCTGGTCACTCTGCTCTCCAGCGTGAAGAGGAGATGAGGAAGGAGGAGGAGCGAAAGAAGGCAGTGGAGGAGCGGCAGCGCTTCGAGGAGGAGCGGATGGAGCTGGAGAGGAAGGAGCAGGAGAACAGAGAGAGGAGGTACCGTGAGAGAGAGAGGCAGATCGAGGAGCACAGGTGGGCATCCAACTAGCATCCTCTCCACATTTCAGAAACAAATCTGCTTCAGGGAATAATGTTTTCAATGAATTTGTAAGAAATATAGCAATATAAATAAAACATTCAAGATTCCTAAATCATCATAAATAAAAATTTGAAAACATAGGTCCTATTATCAGCTTCAAAACAATGACACACAAACTGTTTCTGCTACGTCTTTAAAAATTACCTTTTAAAGAATAAAATTCATTCAGGTGGTAGTGCAAAATTAAAATGTTTAGTTTTTAACTTTTGATTTTCTTTTTGTTTATATGTCTTGTGCAGATTTGGTGGTGTAGAAAAGACCTAATCTTTACACTATTATTAAATGCATTCATTTTTATTTGTATTTATTTTATCTGAACAGGAAGAAGATGCAGGAGGAAGAGGAGGCCAGAGAGAGGCTGCGGAACCAGACCACCATAGTGAGTCCTGTCATATAAGTTTATTATCATCACTTACGGTTGCATCAGTTATTGGCTTTGTTATCTTTTGATACTACCTTGTCCAAGTTATGCATTTAGAAAATCAAAAACGACTTATTGAACCAGAGAATAAAAGACAAATAGTTACATGTTTCAGACTCTGATCTACAACTGAAATTAGTCATCCAATATGGAGACTAATTAGGAACACAATGTTTGTTTGAAACATTTGTGAAAGTTTATTTGAAAAGAGAAATATATGTGTTGAAAATGGAGGGGAGTTTGTCATAAACTTGAGAGTAAATTTGTATAAAACTAAATAAAATCATCTTTCTGAGTGTAAGTTCTGAAGGGTTTTGACTCCTTTTAGAATTAAATAAAACAATTAGTTAATTTTAATGAACATTATTTCTTTAAAAACTTTGACTTAAATAACCGCAGATCAGTGTTTTAACTTTAAGTTCAATTTCTTGGGTTAAAGCCTAATAGGCCATAATTAAGCTTTAAAATGATTCTCTTGGTTTTTATTTTCCTCCAGTCGACTCTCTCACTAAAAAGCATTATTTGGGATCTACTGACCTCTACTGGTAATAGTATGTATTTGTTCCTGTCTTTATTTCACATTTGATGAAAAAGACGCATGTCTTCTTTTGTTTTTTCCAGGCGTCTGAACCGAGCATCGAGGACCTGAACCTGGACAAGAAGGAGTCTGAGGTAGAGGTCAGTTTGATGAAAAACCTGAGCTCACAAATTGCAGCAGCAAATCCATTCAAAGGAGGGAAGATGAAATCTCACAGCATTAAAAGAAACTGAGCTGAATAATCTTCACTGCTGTAGTTTAAAGCTCTTGGATTTCTTTAAAACATTAGCAGGCAGTTAGTCCAAAGAAACATTACCTGGTGGGTTTGTTTTACTGCTCACTTGTGGTTATTCTCTGCATTTTAACTTTTCCAGGAGGCGAAGGCCATCATCGCCCAGCGATCTGGGAACCCTAGAGAGTTTTTCAAGCAGAAGGAGAGAGCAATGACCATCAGCGTGGACACCTCACCCGTCTCCATCCACAGGACCGGTAAACATTTTATTGTCCCTCATTTCATTAAATGTCACCTATTATGCAATCTTGAAAAGGTTATGTGTCAAACTTTTGAGAAACAGAGAAAATGTTGAGGGTTTTTTTGGCTGTGAGCCAAAAATCATAAAAATAAACTCGACCAAGGCCATAGTTCAAGAAATCAAAGAAACAAAAACCCAAATATTTCACTCTGTGTATTTTTTAAATTGAAATACTGAAATAAATAAAGTTCACGGTGATATTCTAATTTACAGGAATGTGCCCGTACAAAACTTCTATACAGCTCCTTTCCTTTGACGTAAAGTCTTCGTTACACTGAAGTGTAAACAGCTTGACGGACGGAATCAACAACATGAAACAATCCCTTTGATCTCATCGACAACCTGCTTGATCAGATCTAAATATATGAATTTCAGTTAGTTAGTTAGACAAACATTTTTGCAGTGCAGGGCAGCATAAACTATGCGTATACTATCTAATATCCACACATCCACACACACAGAAGCTGTCAAACTTTCCTGCTTTGCCTGTCTGTCGTCGTCGTGTTTATGCCGTACATTACACTAATCGCTTTTCTTTCTGTCTTTTTCTCCTTTTTTCTATCCTTTTTCTTTTTTGTGTCCATCTTTACTTCTGTCTAATTTGAATCTCTCAACTCTGGGTTTTCTCCTTGTTGGGCTTGGACAAACCTTTTACCTCCTGACTTCCTCTTCCTCTTCTCCTTCCTGTCTGCCATCTTTTTGTCTTGTCACACCTGGTCCGTCGCTTCATGTCCGCATTTTCTTGTTTGTGTCCTCATGTTGGACTGTGTGTGTGTGGCCACTGTGTGTTGCCCTGACCACCAGGCCGCTTGGACAGCCCGTTCTTGAAGCAGCAGCACAGTCCCAGCAGCCCCAGTACAGCCACCCCTCCCCAGGGCGTGTCGCCCCTCCGCACCCCGCCACATGCACGCAAGCAGCCCTCTGCTGCAGCCGGTAGGTACAGCAGGAGCCAGAAAAAGGAAATAAAAAGACTGTTGTCCTCAGTCTCCTTTATCCTAGCACTAAGGACAAAATGAGATAAAAACAGGAGGTAATTATAGCACCTTCTTGTTTCCAAGACACAAATCAATAAAAGCTTGGAAATATTTTAAATTGCAAATGAAACCCAAATATGTATCAATTTGAGCTTTTCCAGATGTTTACCTACCAGGGAGAGAATCATTTAGACCAGGAGTGTCCAAAGTGTGGCGCAGGGCCATTTGCAGCCTCTAGACTGATATGGTGCAGCACCCCCGTAGCACAGGCGGTTGATTTAGATGAAGACATTTTATTTTTAACTATTGCAAAATTATTACTTAATTACAATGGAAACTGTTGGGTACAAAACAAAGTATTAATTCTTTAATTAATCACGCTGTTTTATTCTCTTTAAATTTCTTGTTGGGAAAAATAAAAAAAACACATCAATCAGGTGAATTTTACTAGAAACCACACATTGGTGTGACTAAATCCAGTGTTTGTGGAAACTTTTAAACTGTAAGCTGTTATAGATATTAACTGCTAATAAAAGTTTTTCAAGGTCACGCTTGTATCTTTGTGTAAGTATTACTACAATTATCTGTTGGAATAATTTGAAAAAAATGAAACATCAAAGTGCAAAACAATTATAAGGAATCTTCAAAATGATTACATCAGTTATGAAAAGATATTCTGAAATATTAGGAATTTGGATTATCTCACATTTGGGCTAGCATAATACCATCCCTTATGCTTTTAATGTAGACCAATCACAGTGCCCAAAAGAATGCATTGTGGCAAGCGGCCAATCAGTCTCATGCATCATTGATAAGAAAATATTTAAATGTTTTTTTTATTGTTGGCAATGTATTTGCAAAGTTATAGGAGAAGCAGGTTGATCAATCTGTCCAGCGGTTTTGAATTTTTCTAGACTTGGTAAGGTGCAATTGTCTGATGTTTTTCCACACAAAATAAGTTTTGGGTTTTTTTTTAAAGAATGAAATCATTTGTCATTGCTGAAAAGTGACAATTTTTCCTTTCGGAGCAAATATAAAAAATCATTAGAAAGCTTTGGATCTGATATTATTTATGCGTCTATTTCCTTGAAATATAAAATCTGACTTTTATTTGACTAATTTAAATACTGCATGCTTACTTCAGTGGTAAGCAGAAAGAAATTTTTTTTTTTTTTTTTTGTGCCGCCCAAAAGATGTTTTTTCAGTCCACAGGACAAAATGTTTTTGGACACCACTGACTTAGTTTCAAAATTATATCCTGCAAAAATGAACAAATCTTAAATCTGATGCACCAACAATAGGATATTTTACAGGCAAGGAGGTTGAGATTAGAAACAAAAAGAGAATCCTGTAGATCTGGCTCCTCTCAATCCACATCAGAAGGAGCCAGTTGAGGTAGCTCAGGCATCTGGTTTGGTTACCTCTTGGACTATGAGTGAGTCGGTAAGCTCCCACTGACTGGAGACTCAGAGGAAAACTATGAAATGTTTCCTTGGAACACCTTCTGCTCTTTCCTTCTGGAATGAAATTATTTATGATCAAATTATCTAATTATTTGGTCAGAAAACAACTTGACTGAATTAAATTGGTTCTAACCTCTTAGCTATAATGTCTTCAGTGGAAACTAAGTCGTCCTTTGGAGCTGTAAATCCTTTATTTATAGATTTTTGTGATTCAGTGGATGTCGTCATCATGCTTTCGATGTGGTCCAGTCTGATGTTAAACTAGTCTATAAATGTTTCTGTTTGATGGTGGTTCTGGTTTGATTTTGAAGAATAATTGCAATGTTTTATTCACTTTCTGATTTTTTTTTGTTTGTTTCTTTGTTTTAATCTTGCGCACCTGATTATGGACTCTGTCACCTTTCTGCTAACACATCCTCTAAAACCCATTCCTGCTGCTGCCTTTTACCCTGACCTGTGAGTTTTTTTATTTTAAATCATGTTGTCAGTCATCTGCAGCTTGTTGACAGTGGAACTTGTGGGTTTCCTTGGAGGTTCGTGTAATTTTTGTGTGAATGCCAACATAAAGACCCTATGGTGATTGTTTTTTGTCATCTTTCAACTTATGACTACAGAGTTTCTGTTGAGCACTTTCCACATTTAACATTACAACAAATGTACAACAATAATGTAGTTAATGAAATGGCAGATAATTTACCAGGTCAGAATGTGAAATGAAGAAAAAATTAAGAAGAACATCCTAATTACTTGTAAATAAGGCATGGTTGGATTTGGTTTAGCATAAACTTATTTGATTAGCTCAAGATCTTACTTTTTAATCTAATTAGATTTATCCTATTATTTCTGAACATGTTCTGCCATTTTATTGTATTCCTTCATCAGCGGTTCATTGTGTTGGTGAACTCTTGTTAGCAGGTACTAGAGTGCATTGGACATCAATGAATGATGAAACATCTGAGAAACATCTTGGTTTTAATGTGTGATAGCTGATACTGTGATGATGTTGGTGTCAGGGTTCCTACACATCATAATAAAAAAACTGATACCACCTACTTTTTTTCATTTTTCATATTGAAAGCTTGACTAATGATTCAAAAATTGTAGTAAAGTTTATTTTTTTATTTTAGAAACACTCTTAGAATTTGGAAATTTGAGCGTGGAAAAGTCTAATGTGTATGGGGAATGTGTAGGAACACTGAAATTCAATTAAAACTGTATGGTGGTGAAATTAATTCCTGTCAATGATTTGTAGGATTATTTACATTGTGTTTTTAATAGTGATTAACTTAAAATCAACTGGACTTCTTTGTTCATGAAGATGATTCACCTCACATCCAAAACTTTTCATCAGTTCTGCACATGGGTTGAAGTTGTTAAGTTTATAGTTTATTTCAAGAATAAATACACTAATGGAGTTGTTAAGATCAATAATGGAAGTGAAAGTCATGTAATTACTGGTTCTATGGTGTGTTCTGTTCCATGTTTGTGCAGTTGTCACTTGGCAATCCAGAAATGTCTCCTATAGTATGTGAGTTGTTTTGGTCACGTGTTGGAACTGTCAGTGTTAGGTTAAGTGTAAGTGACAAACGTAGACTGCAGTGTAGGTGTTCAAAAGACGGAACTTTGATAATCCAGACATGTTACCTAGCAACATGTAAGTTGCTTTGGTCATGTGTTTCAAGCTGTAGATGACAAGTCCAGGCTGCAGTGTCGGTATTAGAAAAATTTAACCTGAGGCAACCTCTTTTTTTATTGAAATCTTGATAGTTTTTCATTACCCTCTTGAACCACCAGTCTTGTTCAAACCTGGTGAATTATTTTGCATGAGAGGTGAAACATCTTCAAGAATCAATAGAGGAAATCTAGTTGCTTTCAATCTTGAATGCTTTGAGTCTTGAATCTTATGGATTTTTTGCAATATTATAAAGCAACAAAAGCTAAAATCTTTTTCCTAATAAGGAATAAAAAAGCACCATAGATGTTTGCCCTAACTTGGGGGCACTTTATTATCAAGGAGGAATCACATAAGGTTCCTCTGCGAATGAGGAGCCAATCTTTTATCATGCTTCATCATGTTTAATTCAGCTCAGAAATGCTTCATTTGAATATGTTTATCAGAACTTGACTTCTCAATGGGAAACTGCATGGAAACAAAGTGGTCTGTGAATTATGTGTATCTGTTTTTGTCTGTTTTTTTGTTTTTTTTTGCAGATGACAATGATGATGAAGTGAGCATAGAGCGCAACATGGCCGCCATTTCGCCCATTCCTAAAATAGTCACTACGCCAATCAAAGAGGACTTTAACAGGGAGGAGGAAGACCACAGAGAAGATGAGTGGGGTACAAAGAAACATCTTTATTCTGAAATGACACATAGATTTACTCCTAGCCAAAGATGGTTTAGCCAGTGAAACGTCTGTCCTGTTTGGAGCTCAATTATTCAGATGGAGTCCCATTAGGAAAACTATTTAAAGAATGGAAATGACACAGAAAGCTTGACTGTACCTGGCTAGACTGTTTTTCCACAGCAGCAATGAAGACATTATTATTTTTAAACTTTTTTATGCATTCTTTCATGTGTACAATTTATCTATCAAAATGTGAACATCTACCCAATGTGGTTTCTTCTACTTTACAGTTTCCTGTCAGCTCATCCTGAAGTACACAGCAGATTAGGGATCTCTTTAACCTGCAAGATTTCAACGCAAAACTCACTTAAATGTATAAGAATTTGCATGTATGACAACCAGAAAATACTCCTACTGTCAACTGAATTTTTATTTGTTTTTGTTCGACCTTTGGATGCCCTTTTTTTGTTTGAAGCTAAACTTAAAACAAGAAGAGCTGCTACCAGTGCCTCAGCAGGTTATGTAAGATTTCATCAACTTTAAATATTATATTTTAGAACTAAGAGGATTTACAGAACTGATATGAAATCATAAAACACTTAGAAAAACACAAACATATTACAAGATTTTCCAAAATTAAAGGAAAATCTGGTTCTGTCATGGCTTCATACTGAGAGCTTTCACCAAATCCAAACTAGACTGACAACAGGAAGCTTAGTCCAAGTTTGCTATGTAGACTATCTTTGTAGCAGAAGATCACTCCATTCTTTTTCTGTTTTTCAATAAGTGGCCATACATCCATTCAGCACATTAAATATGTATTTTTTCCTGAGAAAATAATCAGATTTCTGTTTATGTACATGTAGCATGGGAGACTTCACAGGTTGTGGTTACAGATCACCCATATATGATTCCATATAACTGAAATTTTCTATTAGTATTTTTTTTATATAGATAGATTTATGAATGAAGGAAGAGCACAGTCCAGTTCTACTTTGTCATGCACATTATGCTAGCGTTGTACTCCAAACACAATTTTGTTGCCTTTTTTTTTGATAATGACAATAAACTTTGAATCTGAATCTGAATCTGAATAAAGGTTTTTGTGTTCAAAAAGTGATCCTTAAAATTACTTATCCACTTTGAAAACCAAGGGAAAGGCTGATTCAGACTTATTTTATGTTTGATACATTCAATATTTTCTGGGTCTAATATGTACTATTTACATGGTGTAACTGTAATTAATAAAAAATAAATAAAAACAGTTGAGGAAAAGAATATTTTGTCTAGTAATAATTATGATTTTATTTCCTCCAGATTCGGTGCCAAAGGAGGAACAGAAACGGCCCGTCCAGGAGTCGACGTCCACCAAGCCTGTGCAGAGCGTCGCGCCGCAGGCCCGTGAACCCTCCGGTGTTTCTGCATGGGACTCCGGGACAGACAACCTGGTTGACCTGTGGGACAGCAGCTCTGCCCCCACTGTCAACCCCATCCCCTCCACCCATTCATCCAATCTAGTTGACCTGATGGGAGACGGTGACGTTCTCCATGACGACGTCCCACCCAGCATTGCTGCCGGTAGCGGCAGACCTCAGCCCCTTCTCAGCTTTGACGAGATGATGGATGGGAGTTTCTGCTCGGGCACCAGCGCCGAAGACGACCCCACCAGTCTGGTAGATGTGACGGGGTCCGACCAGATGACCCTCAGCTACCAGCATGCGCTGCAGCACGCTTCTGGGGAGGGGCGGGATTCGGATGATGGGCAGCTGCTGATGACCAATGGGGAGACGCTGCTGAAAGAGGGAACTCAGGTCAGATGGCTTCAAGCTCCTGATGATTGTCTACAATTTTTGTCATTATTATGCTTTGTCATCTATTTTTCCTTCCTCTCGTTTGTTTTTTTAGGCAAGTGAGGGCTATTTCAGCCAATCACAGGAGGAAGAATTTGGCCAATCAGAGGAGTCATCAGCTAAGCCAGCGCCTGTGTTTTATAACAAGCCTCCAGGTTTGGCCAGTCTTTTATCTTAATGCTTCTGTTTGAAAAGAGATGCATTGTGGTGAAAGCATGCATTTTGTTATGATTAACTATGTTATGGATGGATGGATGGATGGGTGGACACTTTATCAAACAAGCATCTGCAGAAGCTGCCACTTGTTTTTTATGTTTCCAAGGTTCTCCAGCTGTTTCTTGGCTTATCTTATACCCCATTTGTCCTTTCTTGTTTCTATCTCAATCTCAGCTACATGTCTGTCAGAAGTTTGTCTTCTGCAGAGAATAAAACCAGCTTCTGTTCTTGTGTCCACTCAGAGATTGACATCACGTGCTGGGACACGGATCCTGTGGTTGACGAGGACGATGACTAACCTGCTGCTCTGACATCACAGTTGTACCCGGAGGAAGTAGGAACCGAGCTTCATGAAGAAACAGATTTCTTTCTTTTCTAAAAAAGAGCAAACAAACAAAAAAAAAGTAATAACAAAAGGTCTTGCATTAAAACTCTTTCAATATAATCTTTTAGAGGAAACAGTAGCCACCAATTGAGTTGAAAAGGCTCAGATCTGATCTGTTTTCTGTGTTTATTTATTTTGATTTTTTTTTTCTATGCAGATGTTTTAGCCTGGATTGAGGGGTTTTGTTTGTGGACATGATTATTTCACGTAGGGCACTACTGCATTAGAGACAATGAAGCTGAGTGTGCGGCCGGCGGCCCTCGCTCTTAGTTTGTAGTGCTTTAATAACACCTAAAAAAAAATTAAAATTCCAGCGCATCAAAACAGCTGCCATGTTTATCTTCACTCTCCTCTTTTCTCGTTCCTTCATACCTGAACATATTCACCTCCGCAGCTCTGTTAATCATGTATTTAGACATCACCTTCATGGAGGAAAAGTTATTTATTCGGGTGTATCTGAACTGAAAATCCTTTGAACAAGTCTGTGGTGCCGTTTATTTAATCTTTTTCACTCCTTTTGTATGATTTTAAAACTGAGTTCAACATTAAAAAGCCTTTTTTCTGTCCCAGTGCATTTTTATGCTTCTTCTGCCTCCTTGTGGTTGAACTGCAGCCTCACCATCAGCCCTGAGACTCATTCAAATTTACCACTTATATATTTACACAAACAAAACAGTTTACATAAATATACTGTACATATTTTTCAAATTTTTTAAAAGAGCATAGAAATGCAATAAATTTTTTCTGTCTCCAGTAGACATAGATCTACGTTTCTGTTCCAGGGCAGTATACCTTACCCTTCTTAGTTTTTAAATCAAATTTTTAATTTTAATCTTCAAGTTCAGCCTAATTTTATCTTTTTTTATTTACTGTTTCTGTCTTTGTATTAATCTGCAAGGGACCAGATGTCCTGGATTTGTCTCCAAATTGAAAGAAGTTAGTTAAGCCTTTCCTTGTTTTGTTTTGCCAATCAAACTTCCTTCTGTTAATTATATTACGAATATAAATCTTATGTAATGAATTAATATAAAGTCAGAGAGACTGAAATTTGACACTTAGAAAATCGTGTATTATGGTTGCTATGGTGATTCCCTTTATTTTGGGAGTAGCAGGTGGAGGAAAACAGAAACAGACACAATTTTAAGCATCAAATAAATGTTTTTTTTGCTTTAATCCTATGAGTTATGCGTTTTGTCCCAAGAAATTGGTGGACAAGCCTTCTAGCCATCTCTATCAATTTTTATGTGTCTGCAGTGTCTTATGTTGGAGATATGACAGGTTTTTCAAGGAAGATTCAGAGCTAGAACATAGTGAGAGTTATGATGGGCCTAATCTGGGATTAGTAGGGATTGTAACAGCTATAACAATGTGAATAGCATCTGGTGAAAGCAGACAAAAGTACTTATAATTAAGTGTATAAACTACATGCGGCAATGAAAATAAGAGCTTGAAACTAATATAAATTAAAATGTATTTTAATATTTCGTAGGGTCAGGGACTAGAGTGTGTGACATCATCACGGAGTAGAACAATCATGAAACATTAACTGCAATTAATGTGAAAATAAAAGGTGGAAAATATCAATTCAGTTAGGTAAAATCCAGCTTTCTGTGATCCTTTTAAACATTGAAATGCGACTGTGACATAAAGTATGCCTGAGTTGTTTAGCTCAGACATACTGAGCTAAACAGTAGCCCAGTATGCCTGAGTAATATGTCTGACATTTAGGTCAGTCCTTAACCTAAATTTTATTCTGTGTGTTTTTCTGCTAATTTGATTATACTGTTTATAATCTAGACTTATTTCCAATCAAGCCGAAGATGTTATGTGTGTTGGTTATCAACACTTTGGAAGAAGTAGTAAACTGAAAATGATGACAGGATCCAAATATAGTGACATCTATATATGACAAGGTAATGGCGTAGGAACATAAAGTGTCTTTCCATGCTTAGCTTAGTATATTCTGTAAATTTCTCCTAAAAAATCTATTCACAAAGCTGACAAAGAAAATTGTTATTCTATTTTTTAAGAAAACCACTAGTTTTGACGAACTTCCTTTTGCCTTCAGTTAGAATAACACGCAGCACAGCAGTAGCCTTGTATTTGTTGTTTCTGGTGTATCACATGGCTTAGCCCTCGGTCTTTGGTTGAGTTCCACACTTAATTTTTAAAGTTGTTTCCCTCAGGAGGAGAAAATGTAGATAAACTAAAGAAATTGAATAAATAGGCACCATGTTTGTGTAAAAATAAATTCTGACACTTCCCTGACATCTGGTACTCAAAGCAGCTTGAAGTATATAAATATATCAAAGAAAAAAAATCATTGTTGCCCCACACCTGCTAATATTGTTTTGTGCCAAGACAAAGGAACCACCTCAGTATTTTGTTATGTTTGGTTGCTAAGCAATGACTAGTTTGGTTGCTGTGGAAACCCGGTTAAAGACCCGGCTTGAGGACGCTGTATGTGTAACCCGTCAATATGTGTGATAGAATTGATTTTCAGTTCCCCTTTTTTGGATTTTGGCACAACAGTGTTGATCTGTTTGCTGTACAACCCTGTAGACAATAAAAAAGCAATAAGAGCAGCTTTGTGTGAGTGTGTGATTATCTGTAGAAGACCATGGCATGTTCACATTGCAGCCTAATCTTAAAGTGATAAAAATGCTGGTTAAAGCAGCACTTATTGAACTTTTATCTATTATATTTATAAACAGCTAAAGTGACTTTTGAAAACTGACAAATCATAGCCACTATTTTACATAGTCATTACATTGACAAACATTTATTTAAAACATTTTTATTGAACAAAAAGTGTACGAAGCACTTTGAATTGTCTTGTTGCTGAAAATGTGCTGTATAAATAAAATTCCCTTACCTTACCTTAAAACAAACAGGCTTTCCATTAAAGTTCACCACATCAAAAGCAAAGACAAGATATAATGCATAAAGAACTCTTTGTGAATGCTTAAATGTATCTTTGTGAAGGATACATTTAAGCAAAATAAAGTGAGATACACAATTTAATGAATGGAAATATTGATTCTTAGAGAAAAGAGAGAAGAAAAATCAGACAAAAAAATTTAATAAAATGCTAAGAAACATCAGGTTTCGGGAAAATATTTTTTGTAATTGGAAAGAAACGTGTTGCTCTTTTTATTATTGATCAATGACACAAACACAAATAAAATAACACCATTCTTATGTCACATGTTAAAAAACTTAATCCCTGCTCAATTTTCTACAATCTGCAATTCTGTTGGCTCAGGTTTGCAGACACAAGAGTTTCGTTCATCATGTGAAAAATGTATTTTCCACTCATGTCACAAACTATAGCAAAAATTATTCTGATTCAGTCCTAGTTTATTCATAATTTCTATCCAAGGAAACCAATTTTCTTATAATCTTTTAAAATGCTCCTCTTCATCAACATTTTTTTTTCCAATGTCAATAGATTTTAAACGCCTCATAAATCGCAGTTTTAGACTTTGTTTCCCCTCAACGGCTTCTTTTCACAACATTTCAGGTCATTACTGAACCAGGTTATGCAAGTCCCAGCTCAACCACCCGGTGTCTCCTTTGTCTGTACTTTAGTGGAACAACCAAGCCAATTGGGGAAAATTTTAAACTTCAGCAAAGTCCATGCCTTCAGAAAGCAATAGTTTTTCAATAGCCGAGGTTCCATAGAACAAAGGGGCTGTTTTTGAACAAGCTACGTAGCAATCTGCAATGAACTTCAAACTGGGGAGGAGATTCACCTTCCAACAGGATAAGTCAGGTTTATTTATATAGAACAGGCAGAGTGACAGAATGCATTAAATCAAAGGATGTTTGTGTTTGAATGGTCTAGTGAAAGACCACACCTAAATTTAACATAGAATCTGAAAACATATCTTCACGGATGCTGTCTGATTAGATATTTTTGCATAGAGGAATAAGTAAAAATGTAAACATGCAAAGCTAGAGCAGACAAGAAACCATGGATCAGAAAATGAGTCAGTTGTTGCCTGAAATTAGTAAGATTGCCATCAGACCTCAGGGGACCAAAACCTTCAGATGAGAGGGAGCAACAAGAAAACATTAAGCTATACTCTTCCATCAAGCTCAGTGAAAGAGAACTTGCTTTTATTTCAATCCAATTATAAAGTAAGTACAGTCCTGTTCTGGCAATTCAGAGGACATCCCATTCTCTGGTGTTGTCGTAGCGATTGTGACATTAGGGGTGGGTGAGACTGTTTCTTTACAACATGTAAACACTGCTGAACAAAAAGTAAACTTTACACCTTAAATGCACAACAATACCAGTTTAGACTTTGAAGCAACTTGTTAAAATTGTATTGTGTAACATTAAATCATGCTTGGCTGCAACGGTATCGATGGCAGCTCTTCTTCTTCTTCTTCTATTCAGTGTTTGTAGCTTCTTGGCGCAGCTCCGCTCCTGCTACTAGTAGCTTCACCGCATCAGTTCAGCGTTACACCGGCTGATGACGTTGCTGTGATTCACTTTGTCTGGTGTGTGATTTTAAAATATTTTATGCTTTATTGAGGATTTTTGTACATATGTTTTGGCAGTTCTGTGATCATGTCAAAGCAGCAACTTATATTAAAAAGTGTTTTATTTACGCTTGAAAGCTGCCCGCGACTGGGTGCGTTGTCGGCTTCCGTCAGTTGTGTCCCCGCTGGTCTGGAAGCTCCGTGTTTTACCTACGTGGCCAACTCATTGATATTCCTACATCGATTTGATACACAAAGGATGTGTGTTCCCATATCTGTATCCTCTGTCATTTCGTTCTGCAGTTAAAACCGTTTATCTGCCGTTAACACATCGTAGTCCGTTTTACAAACGCAACTTGAGCCCTGAGACGTTCGCACCGGTTGCCAATAGCGCAGAAACTGCTAGAAGCTGACAGTATAACGCCTAAGTACTTTGCTCAGTTTTCCCCAATCTAACCGACCAAGTAAGCGGTCGACGCTCCCTGTTAAACTCGTCTGGTGCAATGGCTCGCTTACAGCGTCTCAGTT